GCCCCCCCAAATCTATAGGCTGCTGCCCCCCCAAAAAAAATCTATAGGCTATCTCAAACCCTCCCCCCACTTACCTGATCTGTAGGCTCTCTCTGGCTGCATGTGTTGTTCCCCTGCGGTTTCAATCAGCAGAGAGAAGCAGGGATAAGATGCAGCTTCCTATCCCTGTCTCACTCCATACACGGCGCCACCTACTGGCCGGCGCCGGTATTGCAGTTCATTCTAAATCTTGCACGAAAAATATCAGAACAAGCTGAAAAATCCAGGGGGGGGCAAGTGCCCCCCCTTGCCCCCCCCTGCGGACGCCCATGATCTCAATGAATTGGTTATAGTGGCTGAGGTTCTCTGGCACTGATCCTCCATTCAATAGTAAACCATTTATAAACAGTTTAACAGTAAATGAAGGTCCCTGCCCACCCACATTCCTGCATCTATTGGAGGTATGGCTAAGGCAGAGATTACACACTACCATATAGCCATACTAATTCATACCAGCAGTGGGTGCTGTGATAGGCTGAAAACAGTCAAATTACACTCTCAGCCAGTCGCAGCCGCCCATTGCTGCTCAGCATAATACTTTCTAATTAGCCCGAGCAGCACAGAGCAAATGAGCTCTGGGAACTCTAATTTAACATTTAAACATTAAAAAAAAAGTTTAATGCTGAATGGAAGGACAGCACCAAGGGGCAGACACTATAAATACTTCAATTATTATTATTATTAATAATAATAATAATAATAATAATAATTAGATGAAGTAGTTACAATGCCTACAATTTCCCTTTAAGACTCAAGTGTAACCAATTACAGTCCTCCTTTAGTGAAATTATTTACAAAATTGTTGGACACTACACTATAAATTGTAGTGAAATTAAATCTATATGGCAAATAGCATGATAACCACTTATGGAATAAAATGGAATGGCCTGTTCTAACATACTGTATCAATCTAGCAACCATCAATATGCAATAGAAGGGAGATAATATAAACAGGAAATCCAATACCTAAAGTAAGTGCCTGCTTGTAGTATTTCTTTTGATAACACTTAGCTGAAAAACATTATCCATGTTTTTAGACATACAAAAACATATTCATTACATATAGTTTGCTCCATAGAGACACCTAGTGGTGCAGTTTATTAGTGAATCTAATACCCCAATCAACTTTAATGTTAAATTATCTGTATGAGAGAACATTTAAAAAAAAAAAAATGTGAATTGACTTAAACTAGAACTGCAATGATACAATAAGCAATCACAAATATAAAGGTACACAGTGTCGGGTATGTAGGTATGGTAAATGCTCAAACACATAAGTGAGTTCTCCTAATTTCACTTAAAAGTAAACATAAAAAATACATACAATAGTATGTGGAGCATTCAATAAATCTGTAAAATGATTTTTTTTAAAATACATCAAATAGTGCAATATGTAATAAATAACAAAACAGATGAGCATATGGGCTGCACTCATGGTCTTCCGTTATAGAGTTTTCTTTATTCCATAAAACAAATCAACAGATCGACGTTTCGGTCCTCTCTGGAACCTTGACATGATGTAATTTGATCTTGAGAAAGGTCCCAGAGAGGACCGAAACGTTGATCTGTTGATTTGTTTTATCGAATAAAGGAAACTCTATAACGGAAGACCGTGAGTGCAGCCCATATGTTCATTTGTTTTGTATCAGCAAACTACAGGACTGGCACATGGCATTTGCACAAGAGAGTTTAGCCTGAGTGCAAGGAAAATCATTTTGATATGTAATAAATAGGTATATAATGCAGTAAAATGAGGATAATTCAACTCACAAGCCTGGAGCCAAATATAATCATATGGGGGGGGCGTGTCCGGCAGCCGAAGAAGATGGCGGCTTAAACCCGGAGCTCCTCGTGGCGCCCGCACTAATCGCTCCACACAAGCCGTCCCAGCACACCCACACACCGCAGATGGGCCGCGCAAAGAGGCAGACAGACCCTGGCAGCACCCTAGACCCCCGGGACACGGGGGAGATCAAACGATCCGGTCATACCTGCAGGCGGCGCCCCGGGTGCGGACACCGCAACGGGAGATGGAGGCCGCAAGCCAGATCATAGAATCACTCCCATCCACACCAGCCAGGTTCTCCCCAACACTGTCAGAGTCACAGCAGCAGCAGCAAGATGGTGAGTGGAGGGATATCATACCCAACCTACTTACCAAGTCAGATTTTGAGGCACTCTCAGACCGCCTTGGGCGGGTGGTACGCGAGGAGGTGGCCCAGCTGCGCGCCGACATGGCGAATGTGGAGGCCCGCATGGCGGTGGCAGAAACCGAGACCAGGGCACTGAGAACAGACTTAGAGCAAACTAACACAGCAGTTATGACCCAAGAGGCAGATATAGCATACCTCACCACGTGGGTTGACGATTTGGATAACCGCGGCCGCAGACTGAACCTGCGGGTCCGCGGGGTGAGAGAGGGGGGCCCCTCAGAGAACGTGCCAGAAGTGCTTCGGCAAATTTTCACCCACATACTGGGGGGCCAACAAGTACCCAGAATTGGCCTGGTCCGCGCACATAGGGCACTAAGACCCCTACCTGCGCCAGAAGAACAGCCCAGGGACATCATATGCTGCCTCGACAACTATCACCTTAAGGAAGAAATACTACGCACAGCCCGCCGCATGGGGGCCGTCCGCATGGAAGGCCAGACTATCTCCGTCTACCAAGATTTATCCAGATACACCCTGCAAGCCAGGAGAGCCCTGCGCCCGGTGACATCAGCCCTACAACAGCAGGCATCCAATACCGCTGGGGCTATCCGTTCTCGCTCTCTGCAAGGCATGGACAAGACCAACTCATAGTCAGAAAGCCGGGAGACGTCCCGGGATTCCTACGTAGTCTAGGCCTCCCACCACAACAGGTCCCAGATTGGTTGGCAAGATCGTTCCTCCAACAAGTACCAGGACCTCAATTTCCACGCAGACCCAACGCAGGCCCGCAAAGACCACAGCAACAGCGGCAACGGGACCGGAACCCGGGCCCAGCAAGGAGGGAGCAATAACCAAGCTTCACGCAGCGAAGCCGGGGGACGGGGAAGGGGACTCAGGCACCAACGAAAAGCATGAACGAACCGTGAGTAACAACCGAAGGGGCACACCCATACACATCACACAGGTCGGCAAGCATTGGGGAGGGGAACGGGGACCAAAGGAATACAGGGGAGGGGGGGAGTCTTTATTTACTGCCACCTCTACCATGCAACACGGGTAACTGTACCCCAAGAGGACAAGCCCCAGGAGGGCCTCATTCCACCAAACATACCATGCATGGGGGGGAGCCAAGACATTTTGGGGAGGGGGATAGGGGGATTTGCAAAAACCGACAAAGAAAGAGGCACACGGGCACACCAGCCGCCACCTTCGCAGACCCGCACCAGGAGGTGCAAATAAGAAAGACGCTTAAGACATTGCAAAATATTTTAATATATAATCTATGGACCCAAGGGGGGGGGGAGATGGAGAGATAGGAAAGCGGGGAGGGTAACAGAGGGGTAGGGGGAGGGAGACGAGACAGGAGCTACCAATGAGACAGGACCAAGAAGAGGTTTGGAGGCTGAGGGGAGGGGAGGGAGGAAGCGCGAGGACTGACAGGATACACGCAAGGGAGACAGGACGGTATAGGGGATGGGGGAGAGGGGGAAGGGGAGGATAGGAGAGGGGAGGGAGGGGGGAAAACACAAAAAATAAAAAAATAAAAACCAAAACAAAGGGGCAAGACGGCCGACCGAAACTCAGACGCAGCGACACAGGATATGCAACGGGAGCAGACACCCCTATTGGCAAACAGAGACGTGGCCAGACATCCACCCATAGAACTTAGGCCACATAACATATATGACCAGGTGACGGGTAACTGGGAAGGGAATGGCGAGCTGGGGGCCACATCAGGTCTCGCACACGGACATCTTATGTATCATTGCAATCTGATGTAAAGTTTTCAAGTGTGTTAGCTCTAGACAAAAAATAAAAAATAAAAAATAAAAAATGTTTTATCCCTGTACAACTGAATCGCACCACGGTATACTGTGGAGCACGGTAAATCCGGCTCCCAGCCTAACGTACCAAAACTTTGTCACAAATGCGATGACCCACAATAGAGCTAACATAGGACACAACACGTGTAAAGAGAGACAGGCACGACAGCGTATTCAGCACAGAGGTGTAGACGTCACAGCGAGAAGCACCATAGCAACCAAGCGGCCCGCGTGCGGCGTTGGATGCAACGCTAAACCCCCCCCTACTGCCCTCGATTAAATAAATAATGCCCAACAGGCGAGCGCACAGCGAAAGGTCCCTGCGCAGCTGACCTTACTCTAAACGGCTCACGAGACACCACCCCACCGGAAACCACGCGCTCACGGCAATGTGAATCACACACGGAGTAGATGCAAGATAGCGACAACGGCGACATGTACACAGCCCAGCACACCACACGCCCATGGCCTCAAACCCCATACAGAACGAAACACAAAGCGGACTGAGCTTCAGCCACACAGCCACCTAAGAGACGAAGGACCAAAATCCACAAACAGTAAGACCTAGTTCTCAAGACACGAGACGAACCAGTCCATCACGGACAAGTTGCCCGACCCCCCCAAAGGTATAGGACACAGAAACCCCCGATATATAGGGGGCGTACAACTCCCGGAAACGACCAGTGCCCACCAGTCGGTTAGGCACACTGGTCAACTCACCAGGACACTTGTCCACTACTGGACAGACCACAGAAACCCAACAGATAAAGCGGACCCACGAAGGGCCCACCCACACCCCAGTCAAACCTAGAACACCATCACAAACATCACAAACCACATACGTGCATACCACAGACACACCTACACCACCTCCTCCCCCTCCCTGCTGTCCGTCCGTCCCCTGCGGCCGCCCGGATGATGCCGGCCCCGGTCCCCAGCGTGTTCACCAGGGAGGACTTAAATATAATCTCCTACAATGTAAAGGGCCTCAATGTTAGAGAAAAACGCACAAGACTCCTGAGGGACCTGAAACAATACAGGACGTCGATAGCGTTCATCCAAGAAACGCATTTTCAGGAGAACAGGGCCCCGGCACTGAAGGACCGAAACTTTCGAACGGGGTACTTCAGTAACAACCCAGATAGACGAACGCAGGGAGTATGCATACTATTCTCCAGCAGAATCCCGTACATAGAACAAGCCACCCTTAGATGCAAACAAGGCAGATATATTTTCACTAAAGGCACTATCTCAGATCAAACCTACACATTCGCCAACATCTATGCCCCAAACACGAAACAATACCACTTCCTCCGGAGCACTGTGGCTTCCCTGATGAAGTTTACGGAAGGCACCCTGATCATCGGAGGAGACCTAAACCTGGCACTACACCCGGATCAGGACGACACGTCCCCACAAGGAGCAACACCGCAAAACAGACATGCGAAAACACTCCGCCTCCTACACCAACACCAGCTGGCAGACTGCTGGCGAGCATTGCATCCAACCGCCAGGGACTTCACCTTCTACTCATCGGCACACTTAACATACACAAGACTGGATTATTTTCTAATGACACACCATAATCTGAACCTATTAAACGCCGCTGAGATCCTGCCAATGACCTGGTCGGACCACTGCCCGATTCGAATGCGGCTGAAATCGCCGCTATACAGGCCCCGGCAGATGTCATGGAGACTAAACGAATCGATCCTCTCGGACGTGGTAGTGACAGATAAGATTAGTAACTCCATACGAGAATACTTCCAAACCAATGAGACAGAAGACGTAACGCCACTAATATGCTGGGAAGCACACAAGACGGTAATCAGAGGCCAGATCATCGCGCTATGCGCAACCCGCAAGAAAGCAGCAATGCAGGAAACGCTCGAGCTTAACAGAGACATCGCAACCCTGGAGACCAGACACAAACGGACCTTGGACGCAACGACATACCAGGAACTCACGGCCAAACGAAACCAACTCACCGCACATCTCAATCGAGCAATTCAACGTTCATACCAGCACTACAGACACATGATACATGAACACGGGGATAAATGCGGAAGGCTGCTGGGAAACCTTCTGAAACAACGTAAAACCCAACTGTACATCCCAAAGATCAAAGACACGCAGCAACGACTTAAGCACCTCCCGGACCAGATTGCGACAGAATTCCGCACATATTACCAAGGCCTATACCACCTCAGACAAGATGAACCAGGAGAATCGCAATCGAGCAAACTCGCTGAAGTACGCAGATACATAGGCTCGGCGCATATGCCAGAAATATCAGAGACGGACCGAGAAGCACTAGAAGCCCCCATCACGCCGGAAGAATTGGCGTATGCCATCAAGAAGGCAAAAACGGGCAAGGCACCAGGGCCAGATGGGCTACCCCTTCAATACTACAAAGTTTTTACACAAGAGGTCGTGCCGCACCTACTGAAAGCCCTGAACTCCATACAAGAGGGAGCCACACCAACCGCGCAATTTACCTCGGCAAATATCACCCTATTCCCAAAGGAAGGAAAAGACCCAACACTATGCTCAAGCTACCGCCCAATATCAGTACTGAACACCGACATCAAGCTGCTGGCCAGCATACTGGCACTACGACTAGCACCATTGCTACCGGCCACAATACATCCGGATCAAACAGGATTCATCCCAGGCAGGGAGGTAAGGGACAACACTATCAGAGCCCTGAACATCATAGCGCACGTCAGAACCCAACAGAACCAAACCCTTCTCTTATCTACAGATGCGGAGAAGGCATTTGACCGGGTGGACTGGGACATGATGATGGAAACCCTCCACACCGTGGGAGTGGGACCGAGATACGGCATATGGGTGAGGGCGCTATACACAGACCCGACGGCACGAATCAGGATCAACGGTGCACTAACGGACCCATTGCAGATACACAACGGGACTAGACAAGGCTGTCCACTATCACCACTATTATTTGCACTGACGCTGGAGCCGTTCCTCAACAGGATCAGGCACAATGACGCCGTCCAGGGGCTTACCATCGGAAACACACATCACAAAACGCTAGCATACGCAGATGATATGCTGTTCGTGGTCACGAACCCAGAAATGTCCCTACCAGCGATACAGACAGAATTTGAGGAATACGGACGAATCTCAAACCTACAAATTAATTATTCAAAATCAGAGATACTGAATTTGACCGTCAAACACACGGACAGACACACACTGCAGAGACGCTACCCATACCGTTGGTGCGACCAACGCATGCGATACCTGGGGGTATGGCTTACACCCAATCCAGCGGACCTGTACACCCAAAACTACCTCCCCATTTTGAAAAAAGTGACGGAGGAACTGCGTAGATGGAGCCCATACTACATC